GCAGGTGCCCAGACCACCCAGCTCCTCGTGGAGCCCCCCTGGAGGCCGGCGGTGTGGTGGGACTCGGTGACATTGACCTGCCAGGGCTCAGGGACAGCCGGTGCCACCACCTGGTACAAGGATGGGGAGCGATGGAGGCAGCAGGGACACGACAATATCACTGTCACCGAGAGCGGCACCTACACTTGTGACAGACCCGACACTGGGCGCAGCCCCCCTGTGAAAGTGTCAGACGGTGAGGGGGGTTTGGGTATCCCCAACCTGGCACCCGCGAGGACCCCACAGGCTCTGACTGGGCTCCACTCCATGGGTCACCTCCTGTGTGACCAGAGCCCCTCCCCTGCTCTGGGGACATCCCAGAGCACCCCAGTGTGCGGAACCCCGTGTTGGAATTGGGGACCCTTGGTGCGCTGGGTGTGACCCAGTGGGGGCATCCCAGTGCCATCAGGTGTGACAGGACCCCTCTGTCTCCCAGACCTGCTGGTGCTGCAGGTGCCAGCGCGGGTACTGCTGGAGGGGGACACGGTGACACTGCGCTGCCGGGGCTGGCGGAACAGCCCGGTCACCTCGGTTTCCTTCTACCACGAGGAGATGGAACTGGGAGTGTTGCCCAATGGCACCGAGCTGTCTCTGTCCCCTCTGCAGCTGAGCCACAGCGGCCACTACAGCTGCAGAGGCCAGGTGGGATCCTGGGGGTGGCAGGAGTCAGTGCTGGTGACAGTGACAGTGCATGGTGAGCACCCCACAGCTGCCACACCGACACCCCCACTGCCCCTCCCCAGGGACTGGGGCCCACAAATCTCCCTCCCCACTCCTTCCCAGAGCTCTTCTCAGTGCCAGTGCTGGAGGGTTCCCCCAAGCCCACCAAGGGGTCCCCCTGACTCTCAGTTGCCTCAGCACCCCTACACCCTGCAGCCCCGAGACCGCCTCCTGCCCATGTTCTACCAGGACAGGCAGGTGGTGGGGGACTTGCAGGGGTCCCCGCAGCTGCTGGTGCCCACCATGGAGGTCTCCCACTTGGGGAATTACAGCTGCGAGGTGTGCTTCAAGGGGAGTGCCGTGCGGAAGAGTAGCACCTAGCTCTGCGTCACGGTGTGCAGTGAGTGTGGGGTTGGGCATGGGGAGCCCCCAGAGACCCCTCTGGTCCCCTGCCTGGGTATGTCCATGTGCTTCAGACACCTCTGCTGGGTCCCCCGCATCTGCCCTGTGGCCCCTCCCCTGTACATGGTGTGACCCCACCCCCAAAATCCCCCATCATACCCATCCCCTTGTGCCTATCACCCCTCCCCTGGCCGGCTGCCAGCCCCTCCCTGTGGCCTCAGCCCTGTCTCTGTCCCCACAGTGCCCGTGGCCCATGCCACCATCGCCCCCAGTCCCCTGGCACACCAGGTGCGTGCAGGTGACCCCGTGACCCTGCGCTGCTCGGTCCAGGTGGGCTCAGCCCCTGTCACCTTCACCTGGCTGCACAACGGGCAGGAGGTTGCCCGGGGTCCCCTCCTGGAGCTCGGGGACATCAATGTGGGACATTCAGGCACCTACCAGTGCGTGGCCACCAACCAGCTGGGACAGGAGGGGCACCGCATGTTCCGGGCACTCAGCCCAGAGCTGGTCCTGGCTGTGACAGTGAGGGGACAGTGCAACAAAGGTATGGTCACACAGGGTCTCCGGGAGGTGCAAGGCACCTGAGGTGAGTGGTGAGCCTGATGTGTCCCCCTCTGTTTCTTGCAGTGGCAGCAGGGGTCGCTGGGGCCCTTTTGTTCCTTCTGTTCGTGGGTGTCATTGTGGCCTGGAAAAGGTGGCACCATGTGGGTAAGTGACAATGAAGAGACAAGGGTCCCAGGGAGCTGTAGAGGTCCCCAGAGCCAGGGAGCAATAGGGCCACACCCACAGCCCCATGCATGGGGAGCTTGGCTGGGGGTCCCTTTAAGGTTTGGTGGAGGGTCCTGCGGGGATGCTGTGAGTTCTTTCAGGGTCCCTGGGGGTGTTTGGATGGGTCTCTGTCCCTGATAAGGTTTGGTTCTTGAGGCTGAGTTGGTTGGAGGGCACTGAGGAGGTTCATGAATTCTGGGGGTCTTCAGGGATACTTGGGGGTCCTGTGGGGAATTGAGAGTCCTGAGGAGGTTCAGGAATCCTGAGAGGGGTCAGGGCCTTGGGACCAACAGTCACCCAGTCACCCCTTCCCTCTTTCCACTGCAGCTGCCAGGAAGCAGCAGGAAAGGTGAGTGGGAGGCACAAACCACTCTCCCCTTTTACCCCAACACCCAAGGCCTCCCATTCCCTCCCCCACATCCCCTTTTGTTCCCTCAGGCCCCTCCCAGAACCCCCAGCCCCCCCAGAGGAGGGGGAGGTGCTGTACACCCACATCGTGGTCACCAAGAGGGCAGGGGGTGAGTACAGGGAGAACACATGCAGAGGGACACGTCATCCACAACTGTCACCCCACCCAGACCCCACAGCCTGTGTCTCTTGCAGTGTCCCCCTGTGCCACCACACTCCAGGAACCCCAGGTGACCTACGCGGAGCTGCAGGGACCCCACCAGCGACCATGTGAACCCGGTGACATCGACGGGAATGTGCTGTGACACTGGGGGAACTGGGACCACAGGGGGTCCCCACCCATGGGCACCGACTCCTGTGTGGGTGCTGTCACTAAAAACTGCCCTTCTCCCTCCCTATGGAGGAAAAAATCCCAAAGGGCTAATGGGAGAACAATTTCCTGAAACAGCAATGAGAGACAATAAAACAAATAGCAACAGCAATAAGGTCCAGAGTAAAAAGGGGCACAAAAGGAACCCCGATATCCAGAGAAATCCCCCAAAAAGTAACAAACCCCAGATATTTCCCCCAGCACGTTTCCTCTGCCAGAGGAACCTGGCAGGGCCCAGAACCTTCAGTGCTCTGATGGCCATAGTGGCCTTCAGGAGACTCTGGATTCTCTTGTCCCCTGTCCCAAACCCCTCCTCTGCCGTGTTCCCCACTCCAGGATGGCACCAAGGCCCTGTGGGGGTTCCAGAGCCTCCCCCTTTTCCAGGGCAGTCGGGATCAGGCCATGGCACAGGGTGGGGTGTCAGAGACAGGAAAGGTTTGAAGTCTGGAGACATTTTGGAACACCTGTGTGTGGCAGGGGTGGGTCAGGCCTTGCTTTTGGTGAGACAGGGCACTGTCTGTCAGTCAGTCTGTCAGCCATGGAACACTGGGGACAGTGTGACACTCTGACAAAGCCAGCAGCTCCTGAGTGGCTGGGTGACCAGAAGTGCCGAGTGGGGAGAGAGCCCTTGCTGGCCCTACTGGCTTAAATGGCAGAGCATGAGGTGGCCAAGTCCCTGACCCTGTCTCCTCTTGGAGTGTCTGTCCCATCCACAATGGAACCCAGGAGTTGGCAACTCGTTTAAATGAGAAATATCTGCCAAGGTAGTTTCCTGGAATGGAAAGAAGACCCTTCACTAAAACTTTTTTTAGTTTCAAAAAGGATGGGGTTTCCGGGCCAAAGTGTAGGAAAAGGAATAACAGCTTTTTTTGGGGTAATTTATAAACCAGAAGAGAACAAACAACACAAAGCCAGAACTTTCCCTCCCGCTCAGCGCTGTTGGTTTGTGTGGCAGTTATAACCGCGGCCAGAAGGGGGCGCTGCAGGGAGAGCTCCCTCCCGGCCAGCAGGGGGCGCCCCGGTCGAGCTCGATCCCCTCAGGGGCCATGGCGGCCTCGGGCGGGAGCCAGGAGGGGAAATCGCTCCTTTTGCAAACTCACGGCCACCAATCGGTCCCGCAACCACCACCAGCAGTGTGTAGAAGCCTCCAAGGCAGCAGGTTGGATTCTACTGCCCAGTGGCAGCGTAGCAGTGTCCCGGGGCCTGGCACACACCCTGCGCAATGCCTGCAACTGCTCTCCATGATCCCGAATGGAA